GACCCAAATTCCATTAGGTACTTGTGGATTTGTTGAATTGGGCTTTGAAGAGGGCAACATATGAACGGAGGAGGAAAAGATGCTACATTGCTACAAGCTTATCACTCGAGTGATAGACAAAATTTTAATAGAGAGCTACTGCCTATTTGGCGCTCAAATGGCACACCAGCTGCTCGCTTACCGAGAGCCTAGCGCTTGAGCGCAACGCTATTTCGATCCACGATCCATTTCACATTTTGACGTACTTTTTTAATATAACTTCCATCTTTAGGACTCTTATTAAGGTTTGACATGTATCCTTGCATATAGTTAGCTGTTCTTTGAAATTAGAACAAGTTATACAAGTTAGAAACACAATATTTGTATTTTTTTCTTCGTATTATAGTGAATTCTCCTTTCGTTGGCTAAGTTTTTCTTTTTTCTTTTTTTTATAGTGTTTTTCTTGTGTTGTGATCACTACTTCATATTGTGCCATATAATCTCATTATTCTCTGATAAGTGGTGTTTCGCGCATAAATACTTGATTAAATTTGTCAACATTGAGATTCTACTAACTTCATTGACTGCATAACTCTCTTAGGTGCTAGATCACAATCTGTTTCATATTTCTCAATGCTTGTCTCCTTACCACATTTGGAGGGACGAGTTCAAGAAAATCCAGCATCAAATGTAAGATCCAATAATTGAATATTATGCTTATTCCAAGCATGTGCAGTTCCAATAATAACACTCCACATTCACAACTGCATCAGAATTAAAAACATATTATGAAAACAAATTCTAATATGCCAAATATGATATCATGTTTTCAATTATATGAACAAAAAAACCTTGAAGTCATTTTGCTATTAACGAACTTGCTGTTATGCTAGACATTTTTATTAAGAATTGGCGATGTGTTTAACTTACTACCAAATTGTATATTTATACAAATTGGTCCATCAACAATTCAACACTCTCAACACCATTAGTAAAAATAGGCTTCCAAAGTTTCACTTGTTACACCTCGCATGACAAGGCTCCAGAGATCCTAAGTGGCAAGCAAACTTGGGCCTCACACTTATGTCATTCTGCCAATAGATAGTTTGGTTGAACCCCGTGAAGATACAAAACCAATATGGGATACCAAACCTATTTGATTGAGTCGACCCCATTGGAAAGAGTTGAACCCTCATCACATGAGAGGTTGCAAAAGGGACTCGGCATGAGATCTTTCATGTAACTCTTGGTATGTGATTGATGTAACAACTCACTCCTATCGCCCCCCAATCTAGCCAATCAGGTTAAGTCATGGGTAACAAAATGGTATTAGCATTCAATGCTTAGAATTGATCGACATTTTCGACAAGATGCCTCAATGTACAGATGAGGCCACGTATACTTTCATCATACATCCAGTATTCATCCTAATTTACTATAAAAGGTCACATAGTGTGCCATTCGAAAGTTAATGCAAATTTCGACTTTCAAGCTATAACTTTCTCACTATTTCATCTATAATTCTCCAAAGCCAACTTCCTTTTACATTGGAGGCTCACGTCTAATGCTCTCCTACACTTACATACTTATTACTTCAACTGCCTTGACCATTGGAGTGCACGCAGCCAATTCCAACACCATCGAAGAAAGCCACGTGTGGCTAACAGTCTAACCAAGTTTACAAAAACTAGGCAGGTGTCAACATAAGAGGCCGTGGGATTTATTGGCCACGTCAAGGATACAAATTTCAAAAATACAACCTTCAAATTCTTCTGTAGATACTTACTATCCGATTAGTCAGTACCTACTACTAGTAGGACATGTAGCCATTTTCACACGATTTTGACAATTCCTTTGACAATTTAAAATCAACGCATGAATTTTAAAAAGCCCAATAAATAAAACTTTATAAAAATATGACATATTTTTCTATAACTGGAGATTCCCAGATTTAGGTTCAATTGGACAAATGAATTGTAAAAACCTCATTTATAATGAGAAAATTTATTACTTCTGCACATACTTATGATGAAACAATGCCTAATTGTCGAGAGAATCATGTTAAATTACACTTTTAATTATATTTATATCTTGGTTCGTTTAATTAGAGTATAACATAATACTCTTTATTAAGATTGACAGGTGAAAAGAGTCTACTTCAATGAGAATTGCGTGATGATGAATTCTAAAATACTCATGAACTAGGTGGTTCAATGCCAAATGAAAACAAATGTCATTTGTGTTCAAATGGAACTATATGGCTTCTATTGTCTAGCCGACTTTTCAAATCATCTTGTTATTGATTGGCTAAAATAAGTTCAATATTTCTTTATTAGGGAAAGATAAAAGTCTCTAACTATTTATCTTGATGTAGTTTATCTTCATTTATACTCGAAATTTGAAGATACTCAATTATTTATTTGGAAGAGTCAATACATTTCATTTATATGGAGAATTATAGGAAAATAATTTTAAACAAGCTACTCTGAGCATAATTTTATGTGGGATTCATACTTTTGAAATTAACATGACCAAGCATATGCATGTTGAACTCCTCCAGATAATAACATGATATATTTATTTGTTAAAATTCGTTAAGAATTGAATGAAATATTTGATTTCAAAATTACCAACTTGGAACTTGAAAAGCGAACAATTGGATTGATTTAGCTAATATTTGTCGCACATAGAAAATCATGAAAATAAAATGTTTGGCTTATAAGGAAAAAGTTTGGCTTCTATCCCAAGGTGTACCATTAGTTTATGAAAGGGGAGGACTTAGATCCTATAAAGTTCGATACAAAGTCCACGCGTGTATGCATATTGTTACCATCCATCCGTCCATCTCAGCTCAGCTTAACTCGACTTGTTGCTTGAGTCTGAGTTTATGTCCGCTTTGGTCCAATTCGGTTTTGGGTATGGTTGCAGGTCTTTATCTTACATATATCTTTGGAGAATATTTACTTAAATTTTTGGGACCAAATTTTTTTCTAATTATCTTTTAAATTCCAACCGTTAGCCATTTTTACGAAATTTTTCTTCATTAACCAACGTCTATTTGTCTAATAGATTTTTTATCGATGTTTTTTGGTAACCAACGTTTGTGATCAACTTTATTTTTCGTAATCGACATCTATGATTGACTATAACCTACGTATGTGATTGTTTTTGTAACAGACGCCATTTTCAGTCTTGACAAATACCTCTGTTTGTATGAATACTATCTAAATAGCCACCATTGTTTTGAAGAAGCTTGTAGACTAATCGAATAACCAAGAAAAAATCTATAAATAACTTGTCTTTCTTCCAGAAAAATTACTAAATTTTCAAACACAAAATCCTGCTTTGAACCTCGCTTCTCTCTAAATTTTGACAGTGTTTTCCAAGTACAACAATACTTTTGAGTTCAAGGAACATTAACTGATTGTTGTGCTGTTTTCATAAGAGACAAATTTCATTTTATCACGTGAGATAATTTTCTACTTCCTTTAACTACAATAGAAGATTGCAAATTCATCTTAAGGACACATTGCGAAGTCAATGAGCTTGAATTATAATTATGTTCATGATTAGTTCTGGTTCTATTCTTGTTGATCATATTGTTCTAATTTCATCCTATTAATTTGTTCAAAATTCGTCCCAATAATTCGAAAGAATAAGCATCTTTATATTGTTTGAAAGAGAAAATGATACTCCAAAAACAACATTTTGTATACTCAACTTCTTAATAAGGAGATTCATGAAATAATTAATTAATAGTTATAAAAGTGAAATGAAATAAAGCAACTTACTTTAAATTAATTTTTTGGCCCCATTTAGGATTTAGCACTATTTACTTCAATTTCCTTTTGTAGAAACCTGATTTTCTTAGTTAATTTCCCAGCCAAGCCAAGAAAAAATGGAAAAAAAGATAAAAAAAAAAAAAAATCTTTGTAGTTGAAATAAAAAAGTTATGTAGACGTTTCTTAATCAAAATATGGTAGGCCGCTTGGCGCTTACCCAACTCAATTTTGTCGTTGGATTATGATATTAATCTTATTTGACATTTGTGGATTAGATATTACTCTTATTTGATATTCTTAATAAAAAAATATGCATGGTCGTAGGCTGTAAAACTTGTCATTTTGGTCATGGTAACTATATAATGCATTGGGTTGAACACAAATCCAACAACAATTTATGATTTTTCCAATACTTTAATTTTTTTTAGATCACAGTCGACAAATAGATACTACTCTTATAATGTTGTTTAAAGTAAAGATTCATATATAAGATAAATGATGAAAGTCGAGTTTGGTATAACAATTGTACTCAAAATGTCTAGTTGTATTCTCGTACTTCTTTTGAAAGATCAATCAGAATATATCTTAGTTCTTGAATCAACATTTTCACATATTTCTTAAAGTATTTTCAAGTATCGAACACTCACATTGCAATTATCAACTCTACATTGAAGTTAGAACCATGTCATAACTTCGTCTCGAAATGAGACAAGCGAATTTAATGATTAAAATTTGTTATTGAATTATATGTTGGATTGACTGCTCATATTTCCATCTCATTTCAAAATTCATTTCACAAATCATCTACAAGCTGCACAAAATCTCATGCTCGCTCATCCAAATTTTGTATAAAATTCCCTAATAAAATAGGCTTAGACTTTGTTTGGGAGTGATTTTTCACCTAAAAAATTATTTTTTGATCGTTATTTCACTATTTCAATGGACATTTTTGATTTCTTTACTCATAGGTAGTCCCACTTTTCTTCGATCCAAAAATCAATTTTCAAAATCATTACGGAAGGCATCCTTAATCCCCTTGAACAACGTCTTGGAATAGAACAAGGATTCAAATTTCCAAAATACCCTTAAAAAACTTTTACGTAAACAAATTTTGACCCGTCCTGCAAACACTATTTTGTCATTTCACTAACTATTTCACAGTCACCCACCCCACAAACTGACATTACCTTCCCCACGCCCACACCCCTCACGAATTTCCAATCACTATGTTCCCAGTTTGCACCCCACTGCGCACGTTAGTTGTCTTCACAATCATTATGTGCAAACCATGCATTTAAGTCACGCTCGCTGCCCCCTCTGCTTAACCTACGCACCCTCCTTCTTCCCACTCTATATTATCACTGACCACTGCATTTAATGAATCTGCAAATTGAAGTTTTAACCTATAAATACACCATTCTGTATCAATAGCTGATCCGTGAATCAATGCAATTACGCTCACTGTACCAATAAAGTTTCAATGAATCGAGGTGACGCCGATTGGAGATCAATTAAGAGAGAATAAAGATTTATTAAGAATAGGGTTTAGTTGTGTATATTAATTATATAGTGTACTGAGAATCTCTTTATGTCATTTTTTGAACAAAGCTTTAAAATCATCGCCCAATCGATCTCCGATCGGGTGAAGTATCCCAGTTTGAATCCCACATTTTCTGTCTATAAAACGCCGTCGTTTCAGAGATCGGAGATTTTCATGTGAAATGAGCTGATTTTGTTGGTGGGTTTGATTGGTAGTGAGGATGAATCCACTTTGCTGCATTGCTCCGGTGTCGATCGAAAAAGATCGAGCTGTAGTGAAGCCGCAAACCCTCAGTCCAGAGCTAGGGTTTGATAATAAGAACGTGAATGATGCTAATGATAATGCGATTTTGAGGCCTGTGTGTTTTCACTCTCGGAGGAGTTTCTCAGCTGGAAATGATGTTTCGTCGTCAAATGCGACGGACTTGCGCCTGTCCGAGAAGGAAAAATGTGAGGAAAGTAATGAAGTCGGGGATTCGAAGAGTGTGGTTGGGGTTTTGTACAAGTGGGTGAATTACGGGAAGGGGTGGAGGGCGAGGTGGTTTGTGTTGGAAGATGGGGTTCTGTCGTATTATAAGGTGCACGGTCCGGACAAGATCGTGATGAGTCCCGGGAGAGACAAGGGAGCGAGGGTGATTGGGGAGGAGAGCTGGAGATATATGAGGAAAGCTGGTAGCGGTAATGGGAGCGGCCATGGTTACCGCGGTAACGGATTCAGTTCAGAGAGACAGTGGAAGCCGTTTGGGAAAATACACTTGAAGGTTAGTTCCTTTAGCTTGGATTTATATATGAATTTGTGTATATTTTGTGCATGCCATTGCCATTATTATAGATATGTAGACTTAACTGTTGTGGTTGGTTTTCCATAGCTCTGTGTGAATAAACTGGTGAAGAAAAGTTATGATAATGGCATTTTCAATATGCATATTTCAATGGAAGTGTTCATGATGAGGCAAAAGGATGAAGGCTTCCTTTTGTGGCCTGCTTACTTTATTTCTGTGTCTGGAATATTTCAATTTGTGTCATTTTGTGGGGTTTTAATTCGTCTTGGACTATTTGGTTCTTCAAAGGAAGCCTATGGGTTGAAAAGTATACTGCGCTAGCTATATGTCACCTGGAACTTATCTTCTAAAAAGTGGAAACATGGGATTAGAAGTTGAAAGCAATAGAATTCTAGTTTATTAATGTCAATTTACAGATTGTATAACTATGCTTGATATTTATTTAAAAAATGTATACAGGAAAATAAATTACGTCATATCTAAGTATGGATATGAAGGAAAAAGCTAAAAATACCCTCTTCAAATTAGGAAATTTACCTTTTTCAGTCTACTGTATGAATCAGATCAAAACTGGAAAAAGTTTTTAACTTTTTGTGGTGTGAGGAGAATGGCTGTGAAGAAGTGAATTGAAACATCAACCTTCCACTTTCCAGTCTGTCATTTGAGACAAGGGTATGGCACGGAAATTCAATGTATGCTGGGTACATTTTTAAGCAACTATAGCGGATATGTGTAACCACTGTTTTGTATGCCTTGCTGCGAAAAGTCTCCAGTTGATTTTGATTTCCTATTAATGCCTAAACATAATATCCTTGAAATATCTGCTGCAAAGTTTGTGCATTGCGAACTCTGGATTTTTACTTGTACTGAACGGACATTGTCATATGATACTGGACTTATTGTAATAAGATAAGTATTCTAGTTCTACAATCATGATATTTCCTAATCTTGTAGCCTGCTAAATGCCTAACGATATGTTCAACAGGTTTCTTCAGTTCGAGCCAGCAAGTCAGATGACAAAAGGCTTTCAATATTCACAGGAACAAAAACTCTCCATTTGCGTTGTCAATTCAAAGAGGACAGAGCTGCATGGATTGAAGCCCTTCTAGTTGCCAAGGACAAATTCCCTAGAGTATTGACAAGCAACGACTTTGAACCTTCTGAAGAATTTGTTGTTTCTACAGAGAAGCTACGATCACGATTAATACAGGAAGGCTTGAGTGAGACTGTAATAAAAGATTGTGAGTCTATAATGCTCTCTGAACTTGGCGAGATGCAGAATCAGTTGAAGGCTCTTCAACTGAAACATATTTTGCTGATGGACACCTTAAGGCAATTAGAGGTGTTTATTTCATTCTTGTTTTTGCATGCATTTGACTTGGATTAATTGATTTCTGATTAACAAGCGTAGAGATCACATGTGATTATCTTGATTGGAGCTTTCACTTTCCTTTATGTGCCCCTTATTGCTCAAAGTTTTAAGTTGAAATACACTGCAAAATGTTTTTGTTCCATCCTCTATCGAAAAAATTTCACTTTGTTTTCATGTAATCATATGTGTCTCGTGAACTGAGTTGATCAGTTTGGTATGAATCTATGTATGTCATAGATGTAATTGCATTCTGAACTTTGATGGATCATTCTATCTGTCAGAACATTATAGCCTGTTGCATTACATCATGTCCTGCTTTATACTTCTGTTACTCATTGTTCCCCTCACACATGTGCTCCTGGAGCCTTGAAATTTAAGGAGTATGATACCATAGTTTTTATGCAGACCGATAAAATTGAGTTGGAAACAACTGTAGTTGACGAAACTAAGGGAAGAGATTCATGCTGTGGACAAGGGAATAGAAGATATAGCGGTCAGTGGGATGTTTTATTCAAGTTTAAATTGATGAGTAACATAATTTTTGCCATATGCTTATGTTCTGCAAGAAATTTGAATGGCTAATCCGTCTTTATGTAACCATCACAGATTTTTATTCAGTTATGTCAGAGGGCAGTGCAAGTGAGTCAGATGCAGATAATGAAAGCCGATACGGAGTCGATGTTGAAACGGACGAAGAGGATGGAACCTTTTTTGACACAAATGACTTTTTGTCTGCAGAGTCTTTGAGAAGTGCTTCCTATAAAAGTAGAGAAAATAATGGCTATCCTTCCAGACCTTGGACTTCTGATAATGAATACTTTTCTGACCGTGCAAGAGAATTTAGAACAGAAATAAAGGAAATTCAATATCCATACATAAAAAGAAGAGATAGCTTACCAGAGCCAAAGGAGAAAGACAAGCCAGTAGGCCTATGGTCCATAATTAAGGATAATATTGGCAAGGATTTGTCTGGTGTTTGCCTTCCTGTTTACTTCAATGAGCCTCTATCCTCATTGCAGAAATGCTTTGAAGATTTGGAATATTCGTATCTAGTTGACCGAGCATTGGAATGGGGAAAGCAGGTCAGCTACTCAGCCATGTTTCTTTTGTGGCAATGAAGTTTCTTAATAACCATGATCTGCTAGTTGCATAAAATTTCAGGTTGTTGATGTGCACTAAGATGTTGAAACATTGTTTTCTGATGATAATGCAACTAATTTTGACCTCCTTTCTTAGGACAATGAGTTAATTTCTGGGAGGGATGGAGTAATTAATTTTTCTTAAAATATTTGGATAGGCTTCAATTTTGTGGATAACGAATTGTGAACTTTAAAAATGTAATACAATGTTGTGTGATCCTGCTGTAAAGTGTACAAATGTCATCTCTTCTCATGGCCTGCCGCCTTACTCTCTTTTCCTCTATCAAAATTCTCTCTCTGTTTCATGTCTTCATTCCTAGATTGGATCACACTGTAATTGGGAATTGTAACCCTTTTTTTTTTTT